AAAAAAAAAGAAAAAGAGAAAGGAAGAAGATGAACCAATTATATTAGTTTATTTTTTTTAAATATAAATAATAATAATAATGTGAGTTGGCATTGAAAAAAAATTCCACGTCAACATGTTTTTAATTTGCTTTTGCCATGTCATCAAAAAAATAATAAAAAATTACACGTGAGCGAGTTAACGATCGAAATTAACAAAATGACTAACAGAGTGCATTTCGTATAGTTAAGGGATCAAAAAAGTGTAAAACATTGTTAAGGGACCAAAAAATGTGCAACTCACTGAAATTGAGGGACCAAATTTAGCATTTAACCAAAAGGGAAACCATCTTCCAATCCTTTCCCGTCTTTTAGACCAAACTCTAAATATTGAATTTTTTAAACTTGTGTGAAAATACTACATGCTTAGAATATAACTATTATATTTTTTAATATTAATTGATATTAAAATATAAAAAATATTATTAATTTTACTATTAATTATATATTATTTTAATTAAATAATTATTTAAATAAATATCAATTTTTTTAATACTAATTAATTTTAAATATATATAATAATTGCATCCAATAGGTATAGGCAAGTAAAACCCTTAGACATTTAGGTGTGTTTCCATTAATTCAAGTCATGACACTAACCATTTTTGCGTGTCAATGGGAGGTATTTTTTTTTCTTTTGAAAATAGGCAATGGACAATGGGAGGTACTGAGTTATAATGGCAGTCATCAATTGAAGTCATGACACTAACGATGTACTCGTGGAAAGCACAAAGATGACAGAAGTTGTTTTAAACCATTTACAACTTATTTCCATAAAAAAGTATTAACTAAAGAACTTCATGTCCCATGCTTTAATCTCGGTAATACTTAAGTCTTAAGTTTTTTACTAAAGGTTAACAATACTCTTTTCAGAGAAAAATAATTGAGGCTTGTGGTTATTCCCTTTCTCTCAAAAATCTATTTTTGTCCGGAGAGAAAGAGAGAGAGAGAGTGTGTGTGTCAACTAAACTTTATATTAAACTTAGGAATCTAAGCTTGGATCAGTTGCATTAGATGGAATGTCAATTCCATACTAAACAATAAGTACAATTATGAATGATATAAAGTGTTGGGATAAATTACCCTACACATTTCATTTAGAATTTGTTAGCATCTTTTATATTTTTATCTTTAGTCCGGATGCAGTAGAATTCTCAAATTCATCTATCAAATAAAAAGATAAGGACAAATTTATCTTTAAAAGCAAAGATAAATTATCTCTTTAAATTATCGATTAAAATAAATTATTAATTATTTAATAATTAACATCATTACTCATCAAAAATTTATTTATCATCTAAGTATTTTTTAATGAAAAGTTGACTTGTAATGATGTCACGCATTAAATAACAGATAATTTACTCTTATATTTTTATAAAAGATAAATGGTTTAAGTACCATTTTGGTCCCTCAACTATTCACTTTGATACCAAAATTGTCCCTCAGCTTTAAAAAGTACCAAAATTATCCTTAAACTTTCATTTTTGGTACCAAAATGGTC